CATTCACTGCACTGTATTCAGTGCTCCCAATACTACACCACACGTACAGTACAAGCGAGTTGTGGTCAACACGGCTATAGTGTACTCGCGTATAGTGTACAACGAGTCCACTCATTGTCGTGATGTCTATCTCATGTGTGTTTGTCGTTCAGTGCATTCATTGGTGTCCATAACGAGCACATACTGTGGTGTGTATTGATATGTAGGCTATAAGTGGTGTGTATTGTAGCCAAAGGCAGGTATATGTTGGCGAAGGACTTGAATTGAGTTCTTAAGGCCTAATAAGCGGTGTATTGAGTGAGACATCTATTGACAGCCAATCGGAGTGCCATTAATCACACGCTTTGTTTTGGTGCCGCAATCCAGTGATCAGTCGGTGGACAAGTGATGGCCAAAGGCAAGTCCAAGTAAGTGCTCACGAGGTGTCTGTTGTGGTCATCATAATTGGTGTGTATTTGTCGTGTGTTTTGTGTAGGTTTGTCATGATATTCATCAAGAGTGTGGTGTCCGGCCATCGAGTGGTGGCATTCAGACCACGAGTTAACGAGAAGATTGAAATGCTTCGATGGGATCCATACGGTAAGGGATCAGTTGAGTGACAATAACACGTGTGCACAAGGAGTGTGTGTGTTGTGTCCATTGATGACCATGTGATTGATAGTCGAGTGAATGGCTGAGCCCTCGGTTGCTACCGATGAAGGGATCGCATGCATAGTGACTATGATATGAGTGGACACAACAGCTACTCCTCAGACGTGTTATGTGTTTGACTCGAAGACTCTTTGAGTGTCTAATGTCTGTATTAATGAACTGATTGTGTGTTTCAGTGCAGTGTTGGTCCGTCTATAAGGAGGACGTGAAGATCCGCGGCGCCAAACATTAGGCCTTCGATGCAATCGCTTATTAGATGCCATTCATAGTCTTTGAGAGACACTAACACTAACCTCACCGCCATTTGTGAATCACTTGATATGACTCTCGAGTTGTACTCAATTGTGAGACAATCTTTGGGACAATAATTGACACATTTTGCTCTAATATTGTCCATAACTAACTTATATTTCATTTGTTGTATAATAAGAATAATAACAAAATGTTTCATTAAATTCTATCCGAAAGTCCAATTCATTACAATAATTATCAATGAA